AGACACATTTGAGTCCGTTGATGAGTACCTTAAGTGTTTTGTTCCTCATCTATTAGAGGAAACACGAACAGAGTTGTCCTCAAGCTTAGGATCTTTGTCAAAATTTCCTGTCTGCCACATAAGCTCTGCCCAGGCAACAAAAATAAATTGTTCGGATAAAACATCAAAATGTTTCGATGTATCACTGAATGCAGCACAAGTAAACAGAACAAAGTACGAGCCGAAATGTGGAGATCTCATAGCTCTCACGAATACAGCAGGAGAAAGACTATTTGTGTTTTCTTGTTCATTGTGTTATTCTTGTATTTTCAGGAAAGAGAGCACGTTGTTTCTTCTCGGGATTGGGGAAATGATGTTTTGGATATGATATGTCAGCGAACTTGAACTCTAGTCAGGAATCTGCAATTGCAAGTTGCCTTGAGACAAGGAACCTACGTGACATGTGAAGATTATTAGCTTTTAGGTTACTTAGGTTAGAAATTATCTTTGATCTAAGTCTAATACTGAAAATAAAGATACAAGCAATTTAACGAGTTCCCGGCCTTCAGCGCGGTATGTCTCGTGGGAGAATTCCTACTCCCAAAATCCACTAGATCAAAGAGACACTAGACACACCAATTGGTGTTCTAGATAGTTGTTTACAATGAATCAAATACTCCAAGCTAGAGAAACACAACAAAGCTCTTAGATGAATAGACTTAAGCCTAAGCTATTCTATCTTGTATTGTTGCCTCTTGCTTTATCACTTTATCTGACTCTTGTTGCTGTAAACCCTTACTTGCCGCTTAACCTAATTCACCCATACGTAACATCTTTATATGTCTCGTATTGTGACCAGGTGCTGCAGTGCTGGAGTGGGCCTGCGACTTCTCTTGGCCCATCAGGAATGTACTTACCGGCCCACCTAGATCTGGTCAAGCCCAAACCTTTCACAATCTCCACCGGTTTGACTTGAGCCCATTAGAAGCCCACTTGACAGCATTTTGTGCCGACAGTTCATCCCTCTCTCCTTTGTCTCTTTGTCCTTTCGAGAAACCCAAGAGTCAGTGTGACTCTCTCTCTCTCTTTCTCGCGAACCTTCTTCACCAAAACACGAACTAGGTTTCGTCGAAGAGAGATCGTTGGTTTCTTCATCACACCGGTGTCGCGTCTTCTCCTCCTCATCTCTCTCCTCGAAGCCTCTTCACCGAAACCGGTGACTTTCTTCTCTGTGAGCGATACTCAGTAAAAGTCTTTTCTCAAAAAAAAAAAACACAGGGAATTGTATTATTTATGCATGGAGAGTGTTATCCTAGCTTCGTAAACTCTAAAAAAATTAAAAGAAAAATCGAAATCTATACTTATATTTTTGGAAGTTGTTTTTGTTTTAGAAAACATGATATTCTTGGAAACTGTTGAAATTACATATCACTTCCCAATTATGTTTGACTTTTCAGCTTCATCGTCCTTATAAAAGTAGATCAAACTGATTAGCCAGATTATTTCCATCTCTTCATCTTCTTTTGGCCTTAATCTTCTGTATCCGTGCTTTTGTAGAGTTGTTTCATTGGTATCATTTATTTTTCTTACAAGTTATAGCTATGTTCTACTAATGAATTCAGCACGAACAGAACTAACATTTTCTCCTTGTTATTATGTTGCAGAAGGATCTTGTAACATGAATTGGGAAGAGAAGATAAGCCTAGTTAACCAAGTTTTCTTTTGGTCAATTGAAGATATTCTCAACAAAGACATCTTCAAAACTGTTAGAGTATATTCCATTGTTAGAATATATTCGGTTTAGATATTGTATAGATACTCTAGATATTCTCTAGAACATTCCATTGTAACATATATATACTCTTGACATATAATGAGATGAGATACGGAGTTTCCTATCTTACATGGTATCAGAGCCCATGTACCAGGCATTATCGGGCTCCTGAAGGGTCATCGTGTTGAACGCGTGAGTGAGACCAGGCGGGAGTTGTGCCATTTGTGGAGATGTGGTCATTTGCGCCATGTGCGCTTGATGGTTTGGTCGCGCTGGAGAAGACCCGAGGATTCCTTGGTGAGGTGTGCTCGCGTGTTGCTGCTGATATTGCTGTGGTGGCGCCGACGTGTAGGGAGGGTAGCCAGGTGAGTGGTACGCGGGGTGAGGCGGCATCGTTGGATAGGTTGGAGTTTGCTGGTTGTAGTACCATGGTGCTCCATATTGTTGCTGCGGCCAGTTGTTGCTGTATCGACCTCTGCCTCGCGCGCGTCCGTTGCCTCGATGACGTCCCCTGTTTCCACGGCTAGGGTTGTTGTAGTTGGTGTTGTGGTGGTGTGAGTTGCGAGTCTGTCCCTCAGAGCCGGCGTAGAGGACCGTGGATGAAGAGGAGTTTTCATGGTGGCTTGGAGCTGGTTTGACTTGTTTGGCAAGGCGAGTTTCCTCCATTTGCAGCATTGAACGAGCCTCCAGGAGTGACGGAAACGGCACCTTGTGTTGAATCACATTGATGATGGAGTCAAACTTGTCCGATAAGCCATTGAGAAGGTGCGACACAAGGGATCGTTCGGACACGGGAGCATCGATGTTGGCGAGTAAATCAGCAGTAGTCTTCATCTTTTGGCAATAGTCATGAACGGTGAGGTCACCAATGACCAGCGTGCGGAGTTCGTTCTCCAGTTGGAGAGCGCGAGCCTCTTTATTGTCACGGAATAGGTTTTCGATAGATAACCAGAGATCCCGTGCCGTAGCATTCTTCTTGAGGACAGTATCGATGATAGACTCGGATATGGTTCCGTAGATCCACATCTTCACAAGTCCATCACGCTCCTTCCATTCCTTTTCGGTGGCCGGAGTAGGCGAGGAGGAGCCATCAATATGGTGTAGAACACCAAAGCTGACACAGTGGGTTTCAAAGAGTTCACGCCACTTGTCGTAGTTGAGTTTTGTCATGTCAAGAGAGATGGGAATATAAGCTTTGATCTGTGAGATCCCATAAGGTTTATCGGCTGTTGATGCAAGAGCATTCATGGTGAGTTGTGAGAAGAAAAGAGAAGAGACTGAGAGGAGAGAAAGAGAACGAGAAGCATGGACTTGTGAAGATGTGGATCTACGGAACCATATCCGAGTCTATCATCGATACTGTCCTCAAGAAGAATGCTACGGCACGGGATCTCTGGTTATCTATCGAAAACCTATTCCTCGACAATCTCAGACCATAGATGTGCCTCCTCTTGTTGCGCCTCCTAATGCTCCAGCTTCACCTCCTCTTCTTCCTCAAAATACTCATTCTATGGTCACTCGAGGTAAAAGCGGCATATCCAAACCGCGTGTTCCTTTGTGCCTTCATACTGATCAATCTATCTCTCCTCTACCATCGTCTCATGTTCAGGCAGCTAAGGACCCTATTTGGGATAATTCTATGTATGTAGAATATGATGCTCTTATTAAAAAGGGAACGTGGACACTTGTCCCACGGCCCAAAGATACTAACATCGTGCGTTCTATGTGGTTGTATAAGCACAAGTTTAATGCAGATGGAACTATCAAGAGTCACAAATCTCGCCTCGTTGCCAATGGACGATCTCAACAACAAGGCATTGACTGTGATGAAACATTCAGCCCGGTGGTCAAACCCGCGACGATTCGCACAGTTCTCCATGTAGCTCTGGTTCGCAACTGGCCGCTACATCAACTCGACGTCAAGAATGCTTTCCTCAACGGCGATCTCGATGAAACTGTGTACATGCACCAACCACCAGGCTTCGTTGACAAGAGCAAACCAGATCATGTCTGCCTCCTCAAACGCTCACTCTATGGTCTCAAACAAGCGCCCCGCGCTTGGAACATGCGATTTGCCACCTTCGTTCGTCGTCTCGGCTTCAAACAAAGTGTCTCCGATCAGTCCTTGTTTGTGCTTTGCTCCGGCACTGACCTCGCATATCTCCTCCTTTATGTGGATGATATTATTCTTACGGCTTCCTCTCCGCACCTGCTTCAGCGCATCACCGCACGCCTGAACTCCGAGTTTGAAATGTCCGATCAAGGTCCCCTCCATCACTTTCTTGGCATTACAGTCAAGCGCGACTCTTCCGGTCTTCTCCTCCACCAACAGAACTACGCAGCCGATATCCTCCATCGCGCCAACATGTCTCACTGCAACCCGTGTCTCACTCCTGTCGACACAAAACAAAAGCTCTCTGCCGACGACAGTCCGCCCGTCTCCGATCCAACACTGTATAGGAGCCTTGCCGGTGCCCTTCAATACTTGACATTCACTCGCCCTAACATTGCCTTTGCAGTCCAGCAGGTGTGTCTATTCATGCATGATCCACGAGAGGCTCACTTCAATGCTCTTAAACGTATCATTCGCTACGTGAAAGGCACCATCTCCCATGGCATTCGTATGATTCGATCACAGTCCCTCCAACTCACTGCGTATTCTGATGCTGATTGGGCAGGGTGTCCCTCTACACGGCGGTCCACTTCCGGATATTGTGTCTTCCTCGGTGATAACTTGGTGTCTTGGTCCTCCAAACGGCAACAAACCATTTCACGATCAAGCGCCGAAGCAGAGTACCGTGGCGTTGCAAATGCGGTTTCTGATGCGACTTGGTTGCGCAATCTCCTCTTTGAAATGAAGATCCCACTCGCTCGCGCCACTGTTGTTTACTGTGACAATGTCAGCGCCATCTACTTGTCGTCAAATCCGGTTCAGCACCAACGCACCAAACATGTCGAGATTGACATTCATTTTGTTCGGGAGAAAGTTGCTCTTGGTCAAGTCCGGGTCCTTCACGTTCCATCAGCGCTACAGTTTGCCGACATATTTACGAAAGGGCTCCCATCTCCTCTATTTCTAGATTTTCGGACCAGTCTCACCGTCAGACCGTCCAACGCTTCGACTGAGGGGGAGTGTTAGAGTATATTCCATTGTTAGAATATATTCGGTTTAGATATTGTATAGATACTCTAGATATTCTCTAGAACATTCCATTGTAACATATATATACTCTTGACATATAATGAGATGAGATACGGAGTTTCCTATCTTACAAAAACATGTATAAGAACGATACCAGACACATTTGGATCCGTTGATGAGTACCTTAAGTGTTTTGTTCCTCATCTACTAGAGGAAACACGAACAGAGTTGTCCTCAAGCTTGGGATCTCTGTCAAAATCTCCTATCTGCCGCATAAGCTCTGCCCAGGCAACGAAAATAAAAATTTCGGATCAAACATCAAACAGTTTCGATGTATCAGTGATTGCAGCAGAAGGAAACAGAACAAAGTACGAGCCGAAGTGTGGGGATCTCATCGCTCTCACGAATACAACAGGGCCAAGACGTGTCTACGACTTGAACCCTCTTGTTCTTGCATATGTATTCTCTGTTAAAGATGAACTACGTATCTCTGTTCATTTGTCTACATCCATATCCATCAATGAGTGGTTTTCATTTCGTTCTTGTGTTTATCTAATGAATTTAACAACAAACACTCGTATCTGGAACGCTTTGCACGGATACGGATGTGGCAATTTCAGTCTCATCAGGAGTGTCCTTCAGTCTAATACTGAGGTATGTAAATAAAAATAACGTATATGATTACAGTTTTTTTTGTTCGCAATATTCGTATAATGTCTCTCTTTTAACCATATTCCTATAATGTCTTTATATGCTATTTTATTGAGCTTAACTTTTTTTTTTTGTAACATATTGAGCTTAGAACTATATTTCTTTTTTGGTCAAAGAACTATATTTTATAAGAGTAAGCTTAGAGCAGGTAAAACCGCTTAACAGTTTCTTACGATTTTTTTTTTCTTTTTGTCAAATTTTTTTTTAGTTAAAAACTCTCTAATCGGTTTTTATTTGGCCACTTGTAAAACTGATTTTTATTTGGCCACCTGTAAAACCGTATTTGTAGAGTGAAAAAATTATGCTGGATGTGACACTTATTTATTTTATTTACTCTCAAATTTTTCCACTCATTCCTCTACTTTAATTTACTCCTGGTTACGTTATATTTACCAATCACACCTATATGAAATAGAGATGCTCAAAAACTCTAGACAAAACACTGCGGCTAATGGGGGAATATGATTGTGGTTATTTTTCTATTTTAAGAAAACGGAGCACGCTGTTTCTTTTAGGGATTGGGGAAATGATGTTTTGGATATAATACGTTCAGCGAACTTGAACGCTAGTCAGGAATCTGCAATTTCAAGTTGCCTTGAGACAAGGAATCAGCATGACAAGACTTGTGTGAAACTAATATGGGGACCACCTGGTACTGGGAAAACAAAAACGGTTGCTACTCTTCTCTATGCCCTCCTTAACCTACGTTGCAAAACGGTTGTGTGCGCTCCTACAAACACTGCTGTGGTGGAAGTTGCATCTAGGCTCTTGGTGTTGTTCAATGGATCTTCTTCTTCATCTGAAAATTCTACTTACGGTCTGGGGAATATAGTCTTGGTCGGGAACCGAGGCAGGATGGGGATAGATAGCATGAATGGAGATCTCCTTGATGTGTTTCTTGATCATCGCATCAGTAAATTGGCGAAACTTTTATCGCTATCGAGTGGATGGAAAAAGAGTTTGGAGTTTGTCATAAAGTGTCTTGAAAATCCGGAGCCTGTTTACAAGAAATATCTCTTGAGAAGGAAACGACAAGGAAAGAGGCAAAAAGAAGAAAACCGTTCTTCTAAATTTTGGAGAGTTTATAAAAAAGAGTTTTGATATCTTACGTGAAAAACTGGAGACTAATATGGTGGATTTGTACACACATCTGCCTACGTCTTTTATATCATCTGATCATGTCAAGAAAATGGTCCAAGGCTGCGATGCTCTTCATCGTGTCAAACAATTTCTGGAGGAGAATTTTTCTAAAGATGAATTTAGCTCCATGTTTGATAGCTTCAACAAAATCAATAGTCTTGATTTCTTTCATACTCTACGGTTACTTCCCAGCCGTTTTGGGGTTCCAGCCACGTTGGAAGATGAGGAAATAAGGAAATTTTGCTTGACGAATGCACACATCATCTTCTGTACTGCCTCGGGTGCTGCAGAAATGACCGCGGAAAGGACAGGACCCGTAGAACTGCTTGTAGTTGATGAGGCAGCTCAGCTGAAGGAGTGTGAATCAGCTGCGGCTTTGCAACTTCAGGGCCTGCACCATGCTGTTTTAATAGGTGATGAGCTTCAACTACCAGCAATGGTGCAAAGCCAGGTATCTCTTTTTGGCTTGTATATTGATATTTCAAAATACTCTTTATGTTTCATAATAAGTGTCACTTAGACACATTTTACACATTAGAAAAATAATAAAATATAGTAGTTTACTCTTATTTGTTATACAATTATTTAAATAAAAATGATTTAACTAAACATATTTTGGTTCTTTACAATGATATAAGAGAGAAATTTAATGTAAAAATGTGCATTAGAATGTAGAATGACACTTATTTTTAAGAATGCAAATATAGAAATTGTGTTTGAAATCCATGCAGGTATGTGAGGAAGCCAAATTTGGGAGAAGCTTGTTTGAGAGATTGGTTTTGCTTGGCCATAACAAACATTTGCTTGATGTTCAATACCGTATGCATCCCTCAATAAGTCTTTTCCCCAACATAGAGTTTTATGATGGGAAGATCTCTGATGCTCCGATTGTTAAAGAAAGCAACTACCAAAAGAGGTTTCTTGAAGGAAACATGTTTGGTTCTTTCTCGTTTATCAACGTGGGACTTGGGAAAGAGGAGTTTGGTGATGGACATAGTCCCAAAAACATCGTTGAAGTTGCTGTGGTTTCTGAACTCATTTCCCAACTTTATAAAGGTATTGTATTCTTATGCTCTCAAATATATGTTTAATAATAATATACCATATCATACTAAATCTCAATAGTACGTATTTTTCAAATATATATGCATTGCATGCAGAATTAACATCATACTTATATTTTACGAAAATGAACCACGTCTACATAAGGATAATATGTATTATTTTTTAGAATAGATAATGGAGGTGATTATACATACTTATATATATATAATATATATATATATTTTAATTTTTAAAACATCAACTCTAATCAATCATGATGTACCTTTATTTAAAAGTTAAAAATTTGCTACATCATCTGCAACCATAATTTTGTTTGTTTGTTCATGTTTTACTTTTTTTCTAAAACAACTGTTAAAGTATATATTTTAGAAATTGTAGTATTTTTCTACAGAAAAATAACATATAATTAAAATTACAGAGTAAATTCTATAGCTACATTTCTATATCTACAGTCTAACTAATCATCCTCAATTATGTTTTATAATTTGCGTATTATCTTGAACAGTGTCATGTGAGACAAAGACAAAGATGAGCGTTGGGGTTATTTCACCTTATAAAGGTCAAATAAGAGCAATCCAAGAGAGGACCGGAGACGAGTACACTTCTTTACTTGGTGATGAGCTTTTCACTTTGAATGTTCGGTCGGTTGATGGGTTCCAAGGAGGAGAAGAAGATGTCATTATCATATCCACAGTCAGAAGTAACGGCACGGGAAAAGTAGGGTTTCTCAGTAACCGTCAGAGAGCCAACGTGGCACTCACTCGTGCAAGGCATTGTTTATGGGTGATTGGGAACGAGACAACTCTGGGGTTGAGTGATTCGATTTGGACAAAGCTGATAAGGGACTCGAAGAGGCGTGGATTTTTCTATGATGCTGTTAATGACAAGAACCTAAGAGAAGTCATGAATGATGCTCTGCTTGAGGTCGACATGTCTGATGTGTTTTCGAGTTTTCAATCTCTTTCTATTAGGAAAGGTAGAAGAAATGCATGGTAGCTGTTTTTAACTCGTTTTCAAGATCTATGTTTCATAAAACTTTATGTGATTGTGAACTTGGTTATCTAGTGTGGTTATTATTATTTTAATAAGTTTTGGACTAAAACTCATAATCTTTTTGGTCAAGGAACAAGAGCTAGTTGTTAAATCCTCTATCCGCAACTATTGACGTTTGAACCTATCACCTCTATTCTCTCCGCAATTACTGTGATTATGTCGTTAATAAAACTGTTATTTGACTTTGTTTGTTTTAAACATAGCTTCCTAGCCGTCTTAGCTCAGTGGTAGAGCGTGTGACTTTTAATCCCGTGGCCTTGGGTTTGATCCTCACAAATGGTGACACTTTTCGATTCATTTTATTCTTTTTAAAACATGTTTCACACAATGGTTGGACAAGATCAGCCAATGGCACAAAAGAAGAGAGGATTCAAAGACAGTGAAAACTGAGTTGGATGATCTTACACTTGTGTTCCCTTTAGAGCAACATTATCGCTGTCCCTTAACTCCATTTCTTAACTTTATTGGGTCAAATTTAAATAAAAAAGATGAGAAAACGAGTGAAACGGACCTTAATTAAGGGATAATTTGAGCTCGTCTTTAGGCCAAGTGGCATGTTCTGATAGTTGTGATACGCAGTCGGAGAAGAGAGAGTTGGTATCTTTTGGCATCCTAGCCGTCTTAGCTCAGTGGTAGAGCGCGTGACTTTTAATCCCGTGGCCTTGGGTTCGATCCCCACAAATGGCGACACTTTTCGATTCATTTTATTCTTTTTAAAACATGTTTCAGCTCACAATGGTTGGACAAGATCAGCCTATGGCACAAAAGAACAGAGGATTCAAAGACAGTGAAAACTGAGTTGGATGATCTTATACTTGTGTTCCCTTTAGGGCAACATTATCGATGTCCCTTAAGCCCATTTCTTAATTTTATTGGGTCAAATTTAAATAAAAAAGATGAGAAAACGAGTGGAACGGACCTTAATTAAGGGACAATTTGAGCTCGTCTTTAGGCCAAGTGGCATGTTCTGATAGTTGTGATACGCAGTCGGAGAAAAGAGAGTTGGTATCTTTTGCTCCAAGATTCATCGTGAATCGTCAACCGGGCTCCAATCATTCTCTCTCCGAATATCTTTTGCTCCAAGATTCATTGTGAATCGTCAACCGTCACTCTCTCCGAGTGAATCTTAGCTCATTTACGAATGAAACAAATGTAGATCAGAGCTGCTCGCTATCTAATAGCGCTGGGCACATTCCCTCCGAACAGAAGTCCAAAGATTTTCTTGCCCAAGGCAGTAGTATCAGGTCATTATTTTCCATTAGACTATGGACTTTTAATCATCAAAAAGACTTCTGTTACATTGGAAGCAAGATTCATCGTGAACAAAAGATATCGCGTGTTTCATTTACTCGATTCTCTTCCCTCACCCCAATCTGCTCCACTTCTCGCCGGAGCTTCGCCAGACCGGGTCTCTTCATAAGACGGGTATGATTGGGTTCAGCTTCTCTCTTTGTGTGCTTTGTTGTTCTGTTTTATGTTTCATGTTTCAAGTTCTGCTGTTTGGTATGTACTTCAAATGATTTTTTAAGAGACAACAAAAAAGTTTCTACCAATAATTTACATACAGTGAAACCTCTATAAATTAATAATTTTGGGACTACACCAAAATTTTATTTTTTATTAATTTAGAGATATTAATTTATCGATATATTAACTGAACCAAAAACTCAATTTAGGACTATAAAATTATATTATTTTATAGAGATATTTAGTGTATATTAATTTATCGAGTATTAATTTATACAGGTTCTACTGTAGTTGTTTGTGTTTTTTAACATTGTCTTTTAATCAAAAAATAATAATAAAAAATGCTAAGAGACATTAATTTTGTCCCTACAATAATGTTGCTCTAATGTAAAGAGACTTTTTTCCCTGAATTTCTAAGCACGACCCATGTGAAATTTAACAAAACAGAATCAAAACTCAAATATAATACAGAACAACATTAGTATTATTTATAAGATATATACAAAGCAAGCAAGAAAAGAAAGTTTTAGAAGAAGAAGATACAATGAAATGTGAATGTGTGTTTCTCTAAACCAGTAAGTGAATCAACGGCAAAGCTGAACGCATAAGCTATTAATCCGTGAATCAGATGGATTAGCCAAAATGTAAGATCCAGACTTCCCGTTCCTCAAACAAGTCATGCTCAATTGGTTGCCTAATTGAATCGTCTGCATGCCAAAAAAAAAAACAAAACATAAGTGTTAAAAGGAGATTCTATCCAAGGCTGGGAGAAACCATGTAATGAAAATGGCTAACCGTGCAAGAGGCTGGTTTTCGGTTAGAACTCCATTTAGAAGTTGTAACTACATGAAAAATAATGACACCACGAGCAATGTTTGTTTCCATCTACATTGTCGAAAAGAGAGATTAACCAACAATGAAACTGCCAAGGAAATAAACCGGTTTTGTGATGTTCAAACGAGACAAAGATCATTACTATGGGATAAACAAACAGAGTTTATAGATGACATAATGTAAAACTTACCAACCGAGCAAGAGGAGAAGAGACACGGTCCATATGGCCTGATACTTACTCACATCTTCAGGTGGCTTTAGAAAGCTATACAAAAGACTATCTTAAATCCATCTCAAAAGCATAATACAAAGTAGAAAACAAACATGTATAATAATAACACCCTTCCCTCCCCCTTTCTATCTAAATTATTTGGTCATCAGTTTTTTTACTCTACGTTCATAGCTTCCCTATCTGCTTCCGTGAGTTTTGTCTTCCAAGAGCTGGACACCACATTCAATAATTTCGAGGTCCTTGGATGTGGTGCTGAATTCGAATGAAAACCTGTTGTCCAGTTCAAGCCATCCTTCTCCTCCAAGCATTTTTGGATGATATATACATAGATGTTCCGCTACAATTGTAATGAATTTTCGACCTAATTCTTCGTCTAAGAGTATGCAATTGCCTAGGCGTATGCGACAGGATACCACTAAATAAGCTCTTTTCATGTGCTTTTTTGGGGAAACGAGGACGCAAATCCTAAATCCGTAAGAATCTGAACGGAGGGTTATAGTGTTTCCTATAGCTCGGTGATTGAACTCCGGAGGTAATTCTTTTCCGGGTAAGTATGCCCTTAATGATTGCTGGGTAATTACTCTCCCTGCTTCTCCATCCAATTTGAAGCAGTTAGGGAAATAGAGTTCCTTTAGCTGAGTGTCAAAACGAAAAGATACGGTCTGCAGTGACATACAGTTGTCTACTGTTAGTATTCTGAGCGAGGGAGGGAGCTCTGGCAGTGATACAAGTTTTGGACAGCCAGCTATATGGAGCTCTTTCAACCCATGAAGATCTTTCAACCAGTCTGGAATTTCCTTAATATCTGCTCGACTTCGGTCACGATAAAGTTCTACGAAACCTGGACGCAGATTGACACTGCCATATATGATGAATCTCTCAAGACGAGACCAATGCCTAACTGATTCAGGCACTTCTTCTAACATTGTGTCAGTGACTGCGAGTTCTCTGATATTTCTGGAAATATATGGAATCTTTCTCAAGTGCCAGCATCCGAGCATGCTCACAAATTGAAGGGATGCCAAGTTGAAGTGAGGTGGAACAAATTGTAGCTTCATACATAAGAGCAGGTGCAAAATTTTTAGTTTATGAAAATTTCCAAAAGAGGAAGGAATCTCTACCATAGAAGAGCACCCCCTCATATCCAACCACTCAAGATTTGTAGCATTTGAAAGATCTGGGAGTTCCTTTAAACACGAGGACCAAGCCAAATTAATCTTCTTGAGATTCGTAAGAGGCTGAACGTAAAACAAAGAAAAAAGAACAGAGGAAAATATCAATACATGATAAGAAAGTACATGCTTCAGATATTCAGAGTAACAAGTATAAAAGACCAACCTGGGTTCCTCCCCATAGCTTCTCGAGTTTGTTATTTCCCAGATTGAGTTCTACAAGATATTCTGGACTAAATGTTGGAGGAAGACAGTTTCGTGGGTATGCCTGCCAACGTAGTAACCTTAGACGCGGTGGAAAATCCATGTCCTCGGGTACATGCACTCTAAAATTTGTTTCACGTCTGGTCTGGTAGACACTGAGAAATCGAAGATTACACATTCTTTTAAAAGCTTTTGCGCTTATATACAAGTCATCCACGATTGTAGATATATCAAAAGATATACCTGTCACTCTTCGACTACCCTAATCCAATAAAAGCAAATGTTAGAAAAATAGGTCAGATCAGTGAATTTTCCCCAAATGATCCTGTTAGAAGGAAAAAAAAAAAACTTACAGAATCATTTTCGAGTATATCAAAAATCTCATTAGCATCACTAATGATTTGGCGTTTCCAAGGCTCTTGTCTTCGAACCGCTTGGCGACCCACTTTTTGGAGTAACTTGTGCATCACTACATATCCTTCTGTTGATATTTGTATGAGAGATCTATAAGCGAGGGTTTTCAATCCGAGGCTGACATCCAAGTTACTATCGGCGAGCATGGCAATCACATGTTCATCGTGTATGTGGTTGAAAAAGAATGCAATGTGGAGAAAAAGAGATTGATCGTTCTCATGTAAGCTGTCATATCCAACTCTAAGTACTCCCTCAATTTTTGGATCAAGGCTATTTTCTAGCCTACGAAGTATAACGTCACACTCATCATCATTCTTTCCCCGTAAAGCTGAACCTATGAGACGGAGACCTAATGGAAGATTACTGCAAAGATTTGTAGCTCTTTCAGCAATTTTTTCAAAACCATGTGGCGCAGAGCTTTGTCTAAAAGCATATCTATAAAAGATCTTACGAGCTTCTTTGTTATTTGGGAAATTTACATGGTATATACTGTAAACACCATGTTGTTCCAGAATCTCTTGATCTTCTGTGGTGACTACAATCCTGCTTCCAGGACCAAACCAGTTAGTATCATCAGCCAAAGCCTCAAGTTGCTGAAGATCGGCCACATCATCAAGGAT